ACACATTACTCAATAAAATATTGTTGCAAATAAAATTACCTTCAATTGTTTATTTTGTGAAGCACTAATTTTTGGGACCTTTTTTGTCTTCTTGGGTTGGTTCTCCACCCAACTCTTTGGACGTTTTCTCCAATTCTTTATACCATTTCTTCTTTTCAATCCTTTGACTTGTAAGAAATGATTTTCATTTGGGAAAGAGGAAGAAAGATCAACATTAATATTTTCTAGTCCCAAGTTTTTCTTGCAAATCTCATCAACTTGCTTTCGTAAGTCTTCTATGGCCTTTTCCATAAAGAAGTAAGCTTCCTTACAATCAGATGCTTGCGTGGTTATTCTCACTAATTTAGGGCAAATTTTCCTATATCGTTGTGTGCTATCAAGATTAGCATCTTCTTGAACATGTTTGCCATGTGTATCTTTCACAAATCCATTTTTTGCTTCCCTAGTCCACCTTTTCAAAATATACTGAATGGGAAACTTCTTTATATCTTTGACATCAAGAACCTTGATTGCATGACAACACAAAATGCCAAAAGTTTCAAATTTTTTGCAGCTACATGAAACTGTACTTGTGGAAGGAGTAAATGAAACTTTAAATTCTCCATCCTCATTGCACAACCCAACAAAATAGTCATGGATTAATTCACCTTCATTTCCTTTTTTTATATAACATGCTGCATATTTGTCATACTCTTTTTGAAAAAGATCAAAAAGAGGTAAAGTATATATTTGTGCAACCTGTTGCAATAAAGGTGAATTTTCCATCTTCAACCTTGGTACTTTTTGCCTAGATTCAAATTCACACTGCAGCTCATTGTATCTCTTATCACTAACCACCTTTCAAAGTGTTTGAAAAATTGTATTATGTCCAAGTCAGGTTTCATGCAAGTTTTCAAATCTGCATTAAAGCTTTCACTAAGTTGTGTACTTTGCATGCCAATAGTGGAAGTATTTTTCATATAACATTTTGTCCATTTTTCCTTTACTTTGTACACACCTATTAACCATTTGTTATCATGAAGATTGTATTCATCTAGCAATTTATCCCATGCTATTTGAAAATCAGCTTCCTCTGAGCATTTGTACATGCAAAAACTAAAGTCTTTCAAAAAATGAGACCCATTCTTCATCAAATTACCAAGGTGCTTTATGCCATTTTGCATCAAATGCCAAGAACATAAACCATGATATGTTTCGGGCATTACCTGTGGTAAAGCTTTAGCCATGGCATGGTCTTGATCTGTGAAAAGAGTTTGAGGCTTCTTGTTCTTATGTGCTTTCAAAAATTCTCTAAAGAGCCACTCAAATGATTCTGAAGTCTCGTCATAAAGAAGTGCAGCTCCAAAAATCACCACCCCTCTAAAGTGGTTAAATCCTGCAAAAACAGCCAAAGGTCTATATGCATTATTGGTACTATATGTAGTATCAAGGGTAACCACATCATCGAAGTATTCATAATCCATTATCATTCTTGCATTAGCCCAAAAAATATTTGTGATTTGTTCTTCAATATCTAATTGGACTGTATGATAGAATGATGGGTTTTCTATTGATTCTTGTTGAAAATATTGTAATAAGCTTCCTGCCTCCCCATATGCCATATTTCTCAACCTCTTGCTACGAAGATAATTCTTTTGATCCAAGCGTGTGTAACCAAGGTTTTCTCTTCCACCAACTTGTCTACTCATTAATTCAAATGAAGTCTTTTGCTTAAGGCCTGAATCATTAGCCAAATCAATCTCATGAGCTTGAACTTGAGACTATTTTCTTTGAGATATTAGCATGTGACTTGTCTCCAGAAGATGCAAAGGATGGTTATGCTCATCGCAAAAATCATAAATTTGATACTTCTCAATATTTTTCATGTATTTGAGTCCCAATTTCACCGGACAATTTGTTCTAGTTTCAAGGCGAGGATTGATAGTTAAATGATCCCTTTTGTCTGCTCTACGAACACCCTCTTTGCTACATACATATCTAACAGTCAAAATCCTTCCATTTTTGTTCTTGTTATAATATAGCTTTCGAACATTAAATCCAATTCTAACTCCATATTCAGTCCAAAATTTCCATGCCTCCTCTAAAGTACTAAATGTATTGCCTTTTCTAGGTTGCCATTCTAACTCTGCATCCATGCATGGTGCATTTTGTGCAACAATTAAATCACTTGGCATCCTAACATAACAAAATAAATAAATTCAGCTATAAAAAATTATTTAAAAATATAAAATTAAAAAATATACCGTAGTGTTTCCATAGCCTTACTCGTTAGCATTTGAATGTTGTTTTAACCATGGACGATGGACAAGTTCAGCCATATTGCTCAACCTGCATTTCAAAATTTTTGCCTTTAGACACGCAAGAGAATTTTTTTGAAAATTGTTGAAAAATATAATCTTTTTACTGAAAATTTACAAATAATCAAGAGAAATTTAAAGAACAAGCATGGTCATTGCAAAAAGCAACAAGCTTAAAAATTAAAATATAAAAAAAATGAAAATTCGAATATGAAAATAGCATATTGATGAAATACCAGAGCGAAAAATATCGAAATTGGCATCAGGGTTTGTTGAAGCAAAGGCACATATGAGGGGTTTGTAGAAGCAGAGACGGAGATGCGCAGAAAACGTGAGAGAGTTTAATGAATAAGTTTGTTGAGGAAAAAACGTGGGAGAGTTTGCTGAGAAAGTAAAGTAAAAAAGAGAGATATAATTGTAAATAGATGAGAGAGAAAAGAAATAAGAAAAAAAATAAAAAACAACCGTTGATTTATTATTAAAAATAACAAATGGCTGAGATTGATTAACATTACTGGGTCATGTGAAAAGTTAACATTAGAGGATCTCAATCCGGTTACATACATATTGACCCAAGGATCTGTTGACCAAGAAAAGAATCAATATGACTTGTGAGTTAAACCAGGCCACCCTTGTGACTTAAAGGTATCCACCATCTAAATGTCTCTGTTATCATTCATATCTCCTTTTAATAATGTTGTTATTTTGTTGTCTACGCATGCATGTGCTAGACCACCTATTTAAAGTTCTATTGGTAATCAAATCAAGTCAATAAGCTGTATGTGGGTGAGACATTACTTTTTTTTCTCATAAAAATATCCATAATATTGTAGCATATTTTATTTGTTTCGACCAAAAAACAATGTGAAATGAAAAGTTAATATACTATACATTATTTTTTTTAAATGTCATATTCTAGATTTAGTATAATATATTTTTTAACATTATGTAACTCAGCTTTATTTATTTATTTATAGAATTTTGTGATATATAAACAAATAAGAAAAAAATGTTATACTTATGTTTTGTTTTTCGTTTTAATTATTTTATTATTGCTAAATTATAATTAAATCAATAATTATAAAGTAACATAAAGTAAAAATTATTAATTTAATTTTAATTCAAATGATAAGAAGTGGTAAGAATTTATATACATATATATATATATATATATAAATATAATCTCCTTTAAAAAAAATAATAAGAAAAAAAATCTAAAACTGAAAAAACAAAAGTTAAGAGATTGAGGGATTGTACACCTGAAGAATTGAGGGATTGCCGACTCAATCAAGTTGTTGGACACGATGGTAAGTGGAATTACAACACATTGCTACAACTTTTCGATTTGGAGGTGGTTGAAAAGATCAAAAGCATACTCCCTCCTGATATGCATGATGGCTAAGATAGAAGTTTTTGGTTATTGGGTGGAACGATAGTAGTACAAGTCAGTAAATGCTATCTATATCTTGCAAAATAGTCTTTCTCGCTTAACAATATTTCTGAGGTGGTTTGAACAAGCTGTGGAATTGGAAAGGGCCTCACCGGATTCAAATGTTTTTCTAGAGATTAATGCACAAAAGTTTGCCTACCAAAGATTGGATCAGCTTGTGGTCCACGGCAGACCCATTATGCCCAATCTATGACCAGGAAATGGAGTATTTGATACATCTCTTTCGAGATTGTCCGGTGATTCGTGATATATGGTATGGTCTCTTGTCATATGATAGACTAGCTCAGCTTTTAGAAGCTAATTGGGATGATTGGGTGATTGATAATTGGAGTTGTGATGCCATGGGTTTGGGGGGCTTTGTTTGGAGTTCATTGTTTATTGTTTGGTGTTGGTTTATTTGGCACTGGAGAAACGAAGTCACCCATGCTAGTGCTCCCAATGGGAACTGACACATTACTCGGCCAATACTTGAGCATTTGAAGGAGATATAGCTTACCTATACAGACACAAAACCAAGGCCGCATCTCCAAGTCTCTAGGAATTTTAGCTGGCGGCCCTTTTGACTCCGTATGTTAAATTAAATATAGATGAGGCCTCAAAGGGTCAAATGACTGTGACAGCTTGTGGAAGACTTCTACGTGACCAAATAAGACTTTGGCTAGGAGGGTTTGCTGCAAGAATTGGACAATATGCTGCTTTATAAGCGGAACTATGGGGAGTGTTTAAAAGACTGAAGTTAGCTTGGGAGGCGGGTTACATAAATGTTTTAGTTGAAATTGCCTGTCAAGCAATCATTGCATTGTTTTCTAAGGAAGACAATGAAGCTCGTGAGTCCCACTTAATGACTCGAATATGAGCATTTGTTCGTCATCAATGGAATGTTCAGTTTATGCATATTCTACGAGAAAGCAACCAGTGCACAAATTGGTTGACAAATTATTTGCTGATGCACCTAGAGCTACATGATGATGCTCACTTTTCTGATCCCCAAGACTATGGTATCATCTCCAAGCTTACAATAGGGGTTTAAGTTTTGCCAAGACATGCACGGACTCTTTAGAAGCTCTCATGTCTTTCTATTTTTCTCTAAATTTTTTTTCTTTTCGTCTTTACTTTTAAAAAAAAATTAAAGTAAGGGACATTTGTGGAATTACATAGATTGCATTTTCTTCTTTGATGACTGAGGTTCTACATCATAAGTACTTCCTTACTCACCTAAGCATTCACAAATTCTCTGTCTCTAATCTTTGCTGTGACACTGTCATTCTAAGCTGTCTTCTACAACAACCTGTCTCTCTCTCTCTCTGCCCTAAGCTTTTAGAATACAAATACAAACGCCTTCTGCTACACAAAACCGCTCTTACTACTACAATGCAGGTTACTTTTCACTGATTTCAAACCTCAATTCCTTCAAGTTTTTATCTTTTTATATTTTTTTCTCTTCACAATTTGAATATTTTCGGTTTTCCCTTTCTGGGTCTTTTTTTTCTTTAAATTTTTTTAGCAGACAAGAACAGTTCAAGTGAAGCAAGTTTCGGATCTAGCTGGTGAGAGAGAAATTCACGAGTTCTTCTCGTTTTCTGGAGAAATCGAGCACATTGAAATCCAAAGGTGGGTTTTACATACCCAAATGCTTAATTACTATTTTTCTGCATATTTTTTGGTGCTTGGAACTCAATTTTTGCTAGTTCAAATGTAATTTATGGTTGGGTGCTGAGAAAGGAAGGGAAGGAGCAGAAAAGATAAACAAAGAAATCATGGGGTGCTCTTACTTTTGATTTTTAATATTTCAATAATTTTATTTTTATTTTTTAAAAAAAAAAGCAGAAAACAGCTGGGTTTAACTATTGTTGTAATGGAAAGTACTTTGCCACAGTGCATTCATCCGCTTTGCTTTTTATATTATGATATCTTAGCATCCTTAGTGCTGTTAGCTCAGGTCCTCAGGATATGTAATTGAAGATGAATTGAATGCTTGATGTTAGTGTTTAGAATCAAAATCTGTTCTGTGGGTTGAAAACAACTGTGTTGATTCAGATGTTGCACCTTTTTAACTTTACTTCTTCGTGCTTGCTGTAAGCAATCGAGGTTTATGGTTAGATGCTTTTGTCTGTTTGTTGCAGTGTATCTGGGAAATCAAAGACAGCATTTGTGACATTTAAAGACCCAAAAGCGCTTGAAATAGCATTATTGTTATCGGTACGGCTCTTCTGTTTTATATAGTTGTTGGTGTGTCAAGTTTGATTTGTAATAATTTTCATCTTGACTGAGTCTAGAAGAGGGAAATTGGTTTTCACTAGGGGTTTAGTTCGTATCTGTGTCAAATTTTGGAAGTGGTTCATTACAATTTTGAGAAGGATGACTAGATGACTAGACAATGAACTAAATGCTTTTAACATTGAACTTTTAAGATTGGATTTAAGTTATGGGTTCAGTTTGAAAATTAGAAAATGGTGTTTGTTTTTGTCCAGTGAACATGTTTGCAGCAGAAATTAGTTGTTTCATATCTGGGCTATGTTCTATGTTGATGGTTGATTGTTTGGAATTTATATGCTGAGAAGCATTGACAGGAAGTGTTAAGAATGTAATGGTTTTGAATGGTGATAATTGTGGATCTGAATTAAGTTTTGTTATAAAATGAATTACATCTTGTTTCCGCTGTGGATGCTGGGATGTGCGGCTAGGATGGCACATCATGCTATAGATGATTAAGTAAACATAATATGTATGGGGTAACTGAGTTTCTAAATTCTAAAAGAGATTTATTTTACTTGATACAGCTCACCTAAACGAAAATGAAGCAAAGTGACTCCTAGTGAATGATGTGTATTGTGCAAGTTAGATGAACTTGAACCCTATGTTGCACGGACACCTACACGGGACACGAGATACGACACGATATGACACTCCGACATGTTAATTCTAAAAAATGTTAGTTTTCGACACGTTAGGACACATTTTAATCTTAAATAATATTTTTAATTTATGTAGTGTATATTATATTTAATATTTAATAATCCAACAAAAAATAAAGCTAAACTTATAATACTCATCAATTTTGCAAAGAAACATAAGATATCCCAAATATTTATATTAAATTCAATAAAATGGTAATCATAATTCAACGAATCTAATAGTTGGAACTAAAAACGTAATACAATGCAACTTTTGAACCCTTTTTTAAGTCTCTGTAATGCGTATTGGAGTGTCGGGAAGTATCGGACACGACACGTCAAGATTTTTTAAGTGTCAGTGCATCATAGCTTGAAACCTTGTAGGAAATGACGAGATTGAGATACTCAAGATATCATTTATGGCTTCTGTTGAGTAGAATGAAAGTATAGAACTATCCTGTTTTTGCCAAAAAAAAAAAAATGAAGAAAAAAGTAAAACTTTTATGGAATTCTTTAGCATAGTAAGCTTTGTGGTAGCATTATAATTTCAACTTATTGGCCTATTGTCTTTTGATGTGATCATATTTTGGTTTTGATATTGAGTTGGGAGCTTATTCAACTTATATTAGCTATTGCGCTTAGTGGCTTGTAAAAGTGAAATTTGTGTTGTCTGTTTGCCAGGGAGCAACAATAGTAGACCAGATTGTGAATATAACTCCAGTGGAGAACTATGTACCGAAACATGAGATGCAGGTAAGTATATCAAGAACTCATATATCATGCATACGTGTATTGCCGTGGAATTTGGATCTGATCAATTGCAATTTATGCAGGAAGTAAGGGTGGTAGAAAATGCTATAAATGTTACTCCTGAAACTGTTTCGCTGAATATTGAGGTAAAAACCAAAATCCAGATTTAAGATTTTGCATGATTTATTTTTCCTGATGAACGTTCTCCATGGGCATTTAAGGTTGGCTAAAAAGGTGTGGAAAAGTATACTGAGGGCTTTCTCTATGCATCTGCTAGTATTTTAAATACACCGTATTACTTTGACATTGCAATTAAGATGACTGTTTGAACCCGAAGTTCCAATTATAAATTTTTAAGCATTATAATCAGTAACACTACTATTTTTAGTGCTTTTAATATTGTGTTGGTCTTGTATCACTTGCTTATAATCTTCAAAAGCCCATTCAGTTTATTTTGAAACCATGCAAATATTACCAGTACTATTCACTTTCTTTTTATTGAGCTTATGGTTTGCTCTACTACATTTCTTTCAGGAGGAAAAAGCCAGCCCCGCCAATGGAAGAATTTACGTTAGTAAAGCACAAGATGTAGTTACAAGTGTGCTGGCAAAAGGTTCAGCAATAAGACAAGATGCCTTGAACAAAGCTAAAGCATTTGATGAAAAGCATCAGTTGACTGCAAACGCATCTGCAAAGGTCATTTCTTTTGACAAGAGAGTTGGACTGACAGAGAAATTAACAGTTGGCATTTCTGTGGTCAATGAGAAAGTGAAATCTGTTGATCAGAGGCTTCACGTTTCAGATAAGACTATGGCAGCAATAATTGCAGCTGAGAGGAAGTTGAATGATACTGGATCAGCTGTCAAAACAAGCAGGTTTGAGTTATGTTTACTTATATATATATATATATATATATATATATATATATATATATATTAACTGTTGGATTGAAAGTTTTCATGAAGAAATGATAGTTGTATGATACATGATCTCCATTTCTGCCTCTGCATTTGGATATCAGTATGTAATTGCAATGATTTTGTAATTAGGTTTTGCATTTAGGAAACACAATCATAAGAAAAGAAATTTAGATGTTTCTAAATTCCTACCTGGATGATGTAATTCACAGGTCCTCTAATGGTGTTTCTTTCAAACACTCAAACACACAAGTTTTACACACGAGGAGTTCTATTTCTCTTATCAATACCTCTTTCTATTACTGTATATGCCAAGTTCAATTTGAAATGGTTTACATAGTGCTATTTAATAGCAAATGACTAAAACAATTAAAAGGTTACCTAATAACTCTAAGCATAATAATTGTCCACTAACAAATTCCTAGGGACACACCTCTTCATAACATAAACCCTTCATTTTCTATTTTTAATTACTTTATTTATTAAAGTTTAAACCCAACAAAACTCCCCCTTAAACTTTAATATCTCTACCGTCCTTCATTCCCATCTTCTTCTTGCAATTTTCAAACAACAATGTCGGCAGAGGCTTTGTGAAAATATCTCCAACTTGATCTCGGCTTGCCACATGACTGAGCTCCACCTTTCCTTCTTTGACCTGATCCCGGATGAAATGGAATCTGACATCAATATGCTTGCTTCTTTCATGGTTGACCGGGTTCTTTGCTAACTCGATCGCTGATTTGTTGTCAACCCGGATCTCAGTTGAACCGACTTGCTCTTGCTCCAACTTGCTCAATAAATTTCTTAGCCAAATTGCATGGCACACACACCACGAAGCAGCTGCGTACTCGGCTTCGCATGTAGATAGAGTTACAATGGGTTCCTTCTTCGATACCCAAGTAAATGCCGTATTACCCATAAAAAATACATAGCCAGCCATGCTCTTTCTGTCATCCACATCTCCGCACCAATCACTATCCGAGTAGCCTGTCAGCTTGTACTTGTCCGACTTCGAGTAAAGAAGTCCTTGAGAAATTGTTCCTTTCACATATCTTAGAATTCTCTTTGCCGCCTTCCAATGAGTATACTTCGGTTCTTCCATAAATCGGCTTATTATTCCAACACTTAGACACAGATCCGGCCTCATACACGTCAAGTACCTCAGACTTCCAACTAGACTACGATAAACACTCAGATCTACCTTTTCTCCTCCATCATATCTTGAAAGTTTAACACCAGGTTCCATGGGGGTTGAAACCGGGTTGCAATCACTCATTTTGAACTTCTCTAAAATTCCTTTTGCATAGGCTTCTTGAGAGACGAAGATCCCAGATTCGTCTTGTCTAACCTCCAAACCAAGAAAGTATCTCATCAGACCGAGATCCGTCATCTCGAACTCCTTCGTCATTTTCTTCTTAAAATCTTGAATCATTCCTTCATCATAACCTAGGAAAATCAGATCATCAACATATAGAGCAACAAGTAGAATTTTACCTCCTTTCTTCTTTACGTAGAGTGCGTGTTCATACGAACATTGTTCAAGTCCATCCTTCTTGAAGTAATTGTTAATTCTCGTGTTCTAGGCTCTTGGGGCCTGCTTCAACCCATACAAAGCTTTCTTCAGTTTCAACACTTTTCTTTCTTGTCCGGCTTTCATGAATCCCGGAGGCTTTTCCAGATACACCTCCTCCTCGAGTACTCCATTTAAGAATGCCGACTTCACGTCCATCTGATAGATCGGCCATCCGAACTGAGCTGCTTGAGAAATTAACAGCCAGATTGTCTCCATTCTTGCCACGGGCGCGAACACCTCGTCATAGTCAATGCCGGCCTTCTGCTTATACCCTTTCGCCACCAGCCGGGCTTTATATCTTTCGATCTCCCCCTTAGCGTTCATTTTCTTCTTGTACACCCATTTCACACCAATGGGCCGACTTCCTTTGGGCAGCTCGGCTAACTCCCACGTCTTGTTCTTTTCTATTGCTTTAATCTCCTCCTCCATGGCTGATTGCCATTTCTCATCTCGGATTGCTTCTTCAAAACTCACTTCTTCAGAATCTGCCAACAAACATACCAAGTGTGCTTCACTGGTGGAATCATATAGATCTTGTAGACTCCTCAACCTTGGTTGTCTCAACTCTTCTTCACTATCAGAATCATTTGGATTTTTCGGAATGCGGGTCGAGGTTTGTCCGACCTCAATTGTCATTTTCCCAGGTTGAACATTCACCTCGGATGGACTACTCCAGTCCCAAGCATCTTCTTCATTCACCTTCACATCTCGGCTAACCAGTACTTTTCTATTGACAGGATCCAGCAACTTATATCCCTTAGTCTTCTCATCATAACCAATGAACACAAACTTCTTGCTCTTATCTTCTAGCTTTGTCCTCAACTGATCCGGTATGTGTGCATACGCAACACTCCCAAAGACTTTAAAGTGACCCACTGAGGGCTTCAAACCACTCCATGCTTCCTGCGGAGTCTTGTCATTCAAACTTGAATGTGCACATCTGTTCTGCACGTACACTGCACATTGTACGGCCTCTCCCCAGAACTCTTTCGGCATGTTCTTTGTCTTCAACATGGATCGGACCATATCCAGGATAGTCCGATTCTTTCTCTCAGCTACTCCATTCTGCTGGGGCAAGTACGGTGCGGTCAGGAACCGCCTTATCCCATGTTCTTCACAATACTTCTTGAAAGCTGTCGACACGTACTCCCCACCTCGGTCTGAACGGACCGATTTGATGTACCTCTCAGTACCATTCTCTATCATTACTTTAAACCTTTTAAATGCCTCTAGCACCTCGGATTTTTCCTTCAGAAAATACACCCAAGTCTTTCGACTAAAATCATCAATAAAAGTTACAAAATACTTCTTACCACTGAAGGACCCCGGAGTAATGGGTCCACACAGGTCGGTATGGATCAAATCAAGAGGCTGCCTAGTCCGGTATCTCGCCATCCTTTGGAACGGGCTCCTCACATGTTTTCCCAATACGCAGTCCTCACAAAATTTTCCTTCAGAGTTAATCTTTGGTAGTTCCACTACCATGTTCTTCATCATCTCGGTCAGACCACCATAATGAAGGTGTCCAAATCGTTTATGCCACAATTCCATCTTATCCTCGATTCCGGCTTGCAAATAGCCGTCCTCCAAGCTGCTCATGCACAACTTATACATTCTATTCTTCTCCATCTGAACTCGGGCTATCAGATGCCCTTGTTTGTCTTTCAACAGCAGAACTCGGTCTGTCATAAGAACCGAGTAGCCCTTTTCCATCAACTGTCCAATGCTTAGAATATTGCTTTTGAGCTCAGGCACGTAATACACGTCCCGAATTGTACCAACTTGTTCGTCCTTTTGCAAGAAACAGATCGTACCTCGGCCTTTTACATCTATCTTCGATGCATCTTCGAAAGACACATGCTTTGCTTCCAACGTTCTTAATTCTTTAAATAAATGTTTGTGACCACACATGTGGTTACTGGCACCAGAGTCCAGGTACCACTCTGTCTCATTATTTGAACTTGTTTCACCATGGGCTAGCATAAGATTTCCTCCATCTCTTGCTTCTCCTTCTGCAGCGAAGTTTGAAGTCTCGTCAAACTTTTTCTCATCACGGCAATCTTTAGCAAAATGCCCAACTCGGCCACAGTTATAGCATCTCTCCGAGTTGCAATCTCTTGAGTAATGTCCATACTTCTCACATTTGTAACATTCCACGTTTGATTGGTTTGTCCATCGGCTTCTTTCACCTCGTCCTCGTCCTCTACCTCTCCAGTTTTGATGACTAGACTCAGCTTTCTCCTCATGTCTTGTCTCCTGACCTCAGCCACGACCACCTCGGCCATTACCTCGTCCATTTCTTCCACGACCTCTACCTCGGGCATTCTGAGAGTAGAGCGCCTTTTCTTCCTTGATATTTGCTTTTGACTGGAGTGCTTGCTCCAGTGTCTCTTCCTTCTTTTTCTTGCGTTGTTCATGCGCCTCAAGAGAACCTGCTAGCTCATCAACAGAGAGCGTAGACAAGTTCTTAGATTCTTCAACCGCACACACCACGTTTTCAAAGTCGTCTGTCAACGATCTCAATATCTTCTCCACCACTCTGAAGTCTGGCAGGGCCTCTCCATTCTGCTTTAGCTGATTTACCACAGTCTGAATCCGGGTGATAAAATCTGACACTCCTTCGGTCTCCTTCATTTTCATGCCTTCCAACTCTCCTCGTAGAGTTTGAAGTCTGACCTGCTTTACACGATCAGCTCCTTTGTAAACCGTCTCCAAAATATCCCAAGCCTCCTTTGCTGTTGCCGCCTCTCCTATTTTCTCAAGGCCACCAATTTCTTCAACAGCTTGAAACATTATACAAAGTGCCGCCACATCCTTGTCTTTGATGCCTTCAACTGTCTAATTTGATTCGCTGAATATCCTACTGTCGATTCTGGTTCTACGAACCCATCTTGCACCAATTCCCAACTATCTTGGGCTCTTAGAAGAGCTTTCATTTGGATGCTCCAATTTTCTTAGTTCGTCTTTGTCAGACAGGGCACTGGCAGACTGTTCCTCTCCATTGGTTCAAGCTCTGATACCAATTTGTAATTCACAGGTTCTCTAATGGTGTCTCTCAAACACTCAAACACACAAGTTTTACACACGAGGAGTTCTATTTCTCTGATCAATACCTCTTTCTATTACTGTATATGCCAAGTCCAATTTGAAATGGTTTACATAGTGCTATTTAATAGCAAATGACTAAAACAATTAAAAGGTTATCTAGTAACTCTAAGCATAATAATTGTCCACTAACAAATTCTTAGGGACACACCTCTTCATAACATAAACCCTTCATTTTCTATTTTTAATTACTTTATTTATTAAAGTTTAAACCCAACAGATGAACTGTAGTTTGGAGAGAAGCAAGATAAGCACGATTGATATGGCTTGATTCGACTTTTGTTTGTATGTTATTTGCTTGTTAATGGCTTGGCCTCGTTTCTCTGCAGATATGTGACTGCTGGAACAGCATGGTTAAATGGTGCTTTCAGTAAGGTGGCAAAGGTTGGACAAGTTGCTGGTACTAAAACTAGAGAAAAGTTTCATTTGGCTGTATCAAACTTGACAACAAAGGTGCGTTATGCTCTTGCTATGTCACTTTAAGGGTTAAAAAATATGATAATAATTTGTATCTTGGTTTTATTTCTTTTTCCTATACGTGCATGGTTGAGTAAAACATGAATATTGAGTTGAAAGGGGAAGAGGGGTGCGAGCAAGTTTGTGCTCTCAATTTTAATCTTGTACTGAACTTTCAATTCTTATTTGTTGCAATCTTGTGTGGTAACATGATTTCATCCACTCATGCAGGAACCACCGGTGGTTGCATAAGCCAATTTTTATTTATTTATGGTCACTTCATCAAACCTTTGATGTGGATCTCTCTCAGAGCATGGTTGAGTTAAATTTGGTCATAGAGATTGAGTTATTGGAGACTTCGAATTGAGATAGGAAGAAGAGATGGGCATGAGCTGCTTTCTCTGTCCTTCAATAGTTTCATGTGGCAGGTGCCATGATTCAATTTAATCCTATTTTTTTGTATTCTTTTTTTAATCCTGGTTTGCTTCTTTGTAATTTAGTAGTGGTAATTTTGGGTTTTTTTTTATAAAAAAAATTGAAATTATAGGCGTGATGTTATTGTATTTGTTTTCGCTCTGTTCAAGAAATTAGCTGTTCATGTAAGATTTCCATCTTGTTCTGTTATCAACTCTTCAAGAATTATGGGAGAAGTTCTTATCTTGAAAAAATTACAGAATTTTATTTCCTTTGATGATATAAATTATTTTATTTGTTCTGATGATCAGTTATGTTACGTGATCAGAAATCTGCTCATCCCAATTATTTTTTTATTCCATCATTATGGCACATCGACAAATTTGACAAGATTCAGAAATATATATGTCATGGCTCTTGAATTATTTTTTGAAATATCATAGTTGAATTCGTTATTGGGTATGACACGACACATTTTGTCATGTGACAGAAAATGATAAGTTCCGTTGACTGAGTTAGTTAAATTAGTTTCGCTAATTGAGTTAGTTGAACTTCATTTTTTTCCGCATAAAACGATTGTAATGTTAGGGACAGGTGCTGTTGACTTTGTTTGATGTCCTTTTATCACGTGACAAAACTTAATAAAATGAATAGGGGTGAAAGCGGACTCGGCTGAGCCGAGCTTTACCTCGAAAAGCTCAAACATATGTTAAAAAATTTTAATTTGGCTTGCCTCGAGCGTAGTACGAGTCTAACTGTTAGCCTGGTTTGATTCGTTTATAAAAAAATAAAAGGTCTAGCTTGGTTCGTTAGCCTGTTAATTTTTAACTTTCAAGTATAACCATGAATCAATTTCACAAAATACTCAAATTCTGTTGCTAAAACGAAAATAACAATTTCAACGTTCAAACAAATTCATGAATCACAACAAAACTTATCACAATTTGCAATTAAGTCACTTTCAAAAGCAAAGTATTCAAACTAAATAACATATATTTCATCATATCCGACAAACAAATCTATACTATGTAAATTAAAATAACTACATAAATCCAACAAACACATCATAATGCTTATAGTAGCCAAAAACTTCTCTTCATCTTCTCCCCCTACAAATACAATTCCAAGATTACATAAGTTGTTAAACAATTTGTAAATTTAGAAAACAAAAAACAAGAATAAAGAATAGAAAAAAAAGATTAAGAAACAAAAAATCTTTTAATAGATTCATATAGACAATCTCACATGCTGAGATATTGGTTCCTCTTACATAAAAAATAAAGTCAAATTTCTATTAAATTTTAATCAAATATAATTAAATTATAAAATAATTTCAATTGATTAAATTTATACCTTTTGTTTTTTCTTCAAGTCATACCTATTACGTAGTCAATCTCAGTCGTATATTCGTGGACGATATCTTCAACCAAGCTAATATGATATAGGCCAGCCTGTAGGCTTATAGGCCCGGCATGTAAAAAAAAGTCTATCACCTACTTTCTAAATAGGCTTCTTTTAAAGTTCAGGCATGTTCTATTTGACTATAAGTAATAGGTCAAGTCTGACCTGATATAGGTTAGGCCGTAGGCCCCTGTAGGCCGGCCCGACCCACTTTCACCCCTAAATATGAGTATAGGCATGTTGAAATGGAAAATAGTTTCGTAAACTTTGACAATTATTTTTCCTCAAAAGATGGCATTTTAGCCGTTGTAGCTCCATCATCCATGATCCTTTATTGTTTGAGACATTGATTATTGTGTCACCTTTTTGAATTAAAAATCCCTAAATGCCATGAGAGTAAATTTTTTTTGTCAAAATGACACGACATCAAACTCGTTATAATTGTCAACGAGTTTGGTTATGCCACATAGTACGTTAAAAGAAGTCACAAAATTCGTTATTAGTTGTAGCAACCTAAGTGGTCAAATCGATCACTCTGATTTCTATTTTTCAGTGACACGTGAAGGAGAGAGACAAACTCATTACAGGTTCAGCGAGTAAAGTCTCAACAATAAAAAAAATTACATTAGTATATAGCTCACTGCATATTGAGTATAGCACCTTCTTTGAGTCACATCCCAACATGTTCATCGAGTACTGCCGCGTGTTAGTCTTGTCATGTTCAACTTTTATTAAATTGATAATTAAGTTGTGATGGTCATTGCATCAAGATTTTTTTAAAATTTTTTTAACCAGAAAGGTCAAAAATTCAAATTTTCATATTACAGTTTAAAAATATGATAAGGGACGCGAACTCTAACAGAGGAGCAAGAACAGAGTAGAACGAAAGAGAACAAAAGGAAGACGTTTCTGATTATTTTTTTGAATGAATTCTCCTCAGTTACAATTGTGCCTTTAATACATTGACACCAAACTACCAAATCGTTTCACGCCTAAACCAATGACACGTCAGAGGCTAACAATTGCTACTTCAATTATCAAAATATAGGCTACTCCTAATGCTCCTAATGTAACTGCTATATTGAAATACAACTATACAATTACTGATATGCAATTGTAACACTCACTATCAAACTGCTATATTGAATGTGCCTTTAATTCTCCTCTTATACTGATATCATAACATTTCCTTCTCTTTAAAAAAATGGACCTTGTCCTCAAGGTCCAATGAAAAAAAGAGAGCTAGAAATCTTTTTATATAGGCTGCATAAAATGAATGTATACTTGGCATTGTATAACAGTTTTACCAATCCTAAACCCTGAAACTACTATGAAAGAAAATTGTGGATCTGATTCCATTGTCTAAACTGAATAGAGGAGCATTTCATCATTCACATGTTCCATGTACACATCAGAGAATCTACATCATTTCCCACTTGAAAGATTGAAGCTTGAGGCTCAAAAGAGAAGGTTAAGCAATGTAAGAGCCATTCCTTCTTATCCATCTCAGCAAATGATGTGAAGAAGGCAGTGCCTGGAAGCTCTCCAGCATTCAAAAAGTTCCTCTAACCCAGGTTACCAATGAATGATGCTTCCATCTTGGAATGGATAAGTTGCAAGTACCTGATCATGCAAAATTTTGCAAATGATGATCTTGGCTTCCCAACAAGAAATTCCATTGTTGTGATGGATTTAAGCTCATTGAACCTCCCAAGGAACCACTGTTGTTGCTTGTTTTTATTTGGAAGAGACTCATTTGGAAGGGAGAAATTAGGGAACTGGAAAGAATCAAACATCTCCCTACAAACAAAGGACTCAATTGTAAAACACTTATGATCTTTTATCCAGTAAATCACTTTCTGCTCAATAACATCAACTGCAACATCAATATCCCAACCTGAAGATCTTATTTCATCCAAAATCAACTTCACAAAGTCAATGGACCTAACCGTGTGGCAAATAACAGTAAGAAAATGGTTAGGACTTAATCCTGATATATGAAGATTATCAAGCACAAATAATGCCCCACTGTGATTTAATCTCTTCTCAGTTGACTTGTTCTGCCTATTAGCTTCCTTTAACTTCTCTCTGAGAAACATAATCTCGGAGTCCTTAAACCGCCATTTGATTGTAACTTCTTCACCATAATCTCATAGATTTTGTTAACACTCTTAAGCTCCTTTGATTCAGCTACAAGAATTGTTGTCTCTGATAAAGGATCAAATTATTTGTTCAAGTAACATTGCTTTAGTTTCGACAAGTTCTTCAACTCAGAAACTAGCAATTGATCGGTAGTTCCAATTCCATCAGGGTCAAAAGATGATTGAGCGTATTGTAGCGGAGCATATGAAGCTTTAACAGTTGAAATGCTTGCAAACAGTTTTGCAAGGAGAGCTTCTGTGGCCACTCTTTTCGGAAGCTCTTCATCATCATCTTTGTTGAAAGACTCAGACCAATCTAATGTAGTCTTACCCATGTTCCCTTCATCCTTGAAATTTGCATCAGATATAACATTCTTCAACCCATCAACTGATGCAATTCCAATTAGTTCTCTAAGATGAAAAACCTTGCCAAAACTATAGGTCAGCATTACTGAGAAGAAAGGTAAAGGTGTCGTTCGCCACAGATAATATTATCATTTTTCTCCCTTATCAATATAGTTTATTGCATACTTTTATATCAATATCAACCAAAGCTTCATCGTTTCCCAAGACATTAAGATTTGGTCGTTCAGTATTCCCAGGATTGTTACAATTAGCAGCTACATTTATTTCACCGGATTCGCCCTCTTTAGGAGGCGCGATGAGTGACTTATTTTCATTTTTTTCATGAATTTATCTCTTTAGTCCCTATAGGGCATTCACGCTTCTAGTATTGATTAGACTCAAACATATCTTGTTAAATTTTCCACTAAAGGTCACATTATTTTAAGCCACTCATTTGTGATCAATGAATACTTTTTGGCATTTGTCTTACTAAAGTTTACAAGTTAACGATATTTTGAACTTCAAGTTCAATTATACTTGTACGTGAACCTTAATGATTCATTTGATTTTTCATTCAACATGATTATTTTATTTTATAACACTTTCTTATTAGTTATTATGCTAAAATTTATTCCTTTTTTTCGGTAAGCAAAATTTATTCCTTATTCCTATATCTTAGTTGCTTGTGCTCTCAATATAATCATTTTAAATTTTATTTCGAAAGTGAAATTTCATTATTTTTTTTTCTCCAAATCTCAGTTACTTGTACTCTCAAATTAATTCCTTTCAAATTTTTTAAATTAAAATCTGATTTTTTCCCAGGATCTTAACTGCTCCACTCTTATTATTAAATTAGAGTATACTCTTTATTGAAAATAACTTATGTAATTAATTAGTAACTTATGTTTTTGTAAACTTTAAATTCAAATTCTTTAGAATTAAACATGCATAATTTTTTTATCTTTTAATCTATATTTTTTAAATTCTATCTGAGTTATGTATATATATATATATATATATATATATATATATATATATATATATATATAT